AATGGAGCTCCCAAAGGGTCTGTGCAATGTTCAGACAGCTTGCAGCTCTCCAGTACAGCACTCTTATAAAAAACAAGAAATAAAAACTGAGCTTACCCCCTCAGATATCAAGATTTACTCGTCCTTTCAACTCGGGAAGTCTCGGCGAGTTTTTAACAAAGAGGAGCTGCTCTATTGTCAAATCTGTGTTTCGGGCTCAGTGATGAGAATATTAATTTGATGTCAAAATAAAAATAAAATCAAACCAAAAAACAAACCCACCCTCGACAGAGCAAAGTGTTTTCAGTGAGACTGTGATCACAATTGCCAGGGGACCCCCAACTTTCAGAGGCTGCACCAAAAAGCACCCCTTTAAAACCACTGCAATTTAAAATCAGGGGAGATCTGTGTTTGTACAAGTAATGGTTTTTATTAGAAAACAGGAGAAATTAGGGAATTCCAGATTTTACCCCCTACGTGCAGACTGCCATTGGGGACAGCTTCAGATATTACAACTTTAAAAAAAATATAGAAAAGGAAGAGGAAAAAAACCAACATGGATTGTGTGTGTTCAACTCTAACAGGCTGCAAACAGTGCAATGTTGTGTGTGTTCCATGAATCAGCTCTCTTACCTCCTGAATCTTCATTTTGGTGGGAAAAAACCCAATCACCTGAACTAATAGCAGTTCTCCCAGCTGAAAAGCAGAATTTTACTGGTTTGGGAGTGGTTTTTTCCTCATTCTGCTTTCCTGTCATCTCACTTTTCTTGGCTCTATTTATTCCAGCCTCACAAACAGATCTATTAATTAGCAGGCATCACTCCATGCTATTTCACCACAAAAACTGGACAGAATGACATGCAGATGTCAACTGACTGATGATCCTTATCTTTGTGATACCCCCAAAATGCTTCTGCTTGTCCTTCCATTAATACAGGGACATTTAGGTGGGGAAATCAAAAATGCTTTCTGCATTTTTTTTTGTTCTCCCAGGATATCAAATTCTGACAGACATCTTTAAGATGGTGATCAAAGATCATGCAGATGGAACTTTTAATTAATGTTTGTCCATGTTTTCAGTGAGACATGTCCTGCCCTCCTCAGAACTGGAGCTACCTGAGGACAGGAATTCTGTTTGAAGGTTTCCTTCAGGTCTCATCTGTCCAGGGGAGGGCCAAATCTATGGAACTGCTTCCTCAGGACATTTCAGAAGGAATCAAAGCAAATAAATCAATTTATGGCACTTGTCTTGCTGCCTGTGGGAAGGTTCTGGCCACTGCACTCACATCCTACTCCACTTCTTTCCAGGCTGCCCAAGCAAATGGTGAGTGCTGAATTTAGCATTATTGACCAGGAGTTAACCTAACTGGAGTTAGGGACCAGAAGATTTGGCTTAGACTCCAATGTTGGTGATTTTCTGCCAAGGATATACTTAATAATATCTACTCAGTACCCAGTGAAACCACAACTGCCTAAAGGAACAGTCTCTGCATTTCAGACTGGTTGTCCAAAGCACAGCTCAGTGTTTATGACAGGCAGAAGGCTGTCAGGTTACTGAACTTATCCCCAAAAATCCATTTTTCAATATCTAGTGTGCACCTATTGTAGACTAGAGCGTCCTTGGAATTAAAAAAATACTGGGCTCAAAAATACCTGCGTTGCCTTCATTAGGTAAAATAAATCACCAAACACAAAAATGAGGATTTTAAAGGTCTTCATGAGGCAACAAACAATAGAAAACACTGACAATGGGAATACTGGGTTGCCTTTTGGGATGAATAACAGAATTATCTGGGCAGTTCCTGAAATACATGGTGTAAACATGAAGCAGCAGTACAGGAAAATGTGGATGGATCCTAAAGCCAAGAAGAATCTGGGTTAGTCAAGCAGAACTGGGGCAGAACGAGCACTGGGCAGCCCCAAAAACTCAATAATGAGTGAGCTCTGAGCAGGCAGGGCTTTGAGCCTCCTTACAGCCCCACACCACGCCCTGCTGGCACATTTTAAATGACTAATTGTATGCAATCAGTGCTGTCCACAAGAAGGGAAACACGCTGGGATCAGTCCCCTGGGGCAGCATTTTAAGAATATATGAGGCATGTCCTCAAGATTTTATGGCACTGCTTTCGTTTTGACGAGTAATGATTTGAGAACAACATTTTCCCTGCTCTGTGGAATGTCACTTGCAGGGTTCCCAACCCACAGGAACAGCTGAGCCTCTCAACAACCACAAACCCAATGGAAAGGTTGAAGTTCTAATTGCTTTTCCACTTCCAGCACTGTCTGCTATTGGCTACACTGAGTTTTTCTAAGTGATATTTGCTGGAAACTATCAATAGTCAATCACAGCAGCAGAATTTTTCCCCTGTTTCAACCTGGCTGCAGCAAGAGAGCAAAGATGCAAAGATTCTTTGCCCACCTTTCCTCTTCAGTACCCTGTGTTATTCCATTTTCTCCAAGCCTCTTGTGAGGGCAGTAATGAATTCTTGTTAGTGTTTACTAATGTAAATTCATTCTTTGTTATCCCTGGGAGAGGAGGATTAGCAAAATGACAGAACTTATTATTTCTGCTTTTGCTGGATGATATTTATCTTTATTCAGCCCTTAATTTTGTGCTGTGTCCCACCAAATAAAATATATATGTGCATATCAGCAAATCTAAGGGAGAATTTTTAGCATAATGCACAGAAATATAGTTATGATCCCTATTAATATTCAGAAGTATTGTACAGCTTTATCTGCGCATGCTGTATTAAAAAAATTAATCTAAATCTGAAATAATTTCTAATTTGGAGGAAGAAAGGAATTACAACTTCAATTTCATTTTCCTGAAATGAAAGCAGCTCCCTTGGACTAAGGATGTGCATATTTTTAGGACTGGCTAAAAATTATGGTCTGTGCAATTATTTTACTCTACTGGGAATGCATCTCCTTTAAGGAACTTTAATGGTTAAGATGAAGTTTATAAAACACACAAAGAACATTTTAGTAAAGGAAGCTCTTAAAGGAGCTATCTTGGAATAAACAGATCATCCAAAGTCCCATCTCAGCCATAACTGAAATTTAGAGAGTGAGGTATTTACAATGCTCCTCTCCACAGAGATGAGCAGACAGTGAAATTACAGCAGGCACACAAGATTCTGAAATTAATGGATACCATGAAAGTCAGGGCTAGAGCTTGAAAGGATTTCAGTGTGGGAGTTAAACTGAACTCAAAACTCAAATGTGTTTGACCACATTCAGGTCAAACCAGATCACACAGGAAGGAATTATTGCCACACCTGGAGATCCACTGTATGCCATACTCTGAGATCTCCTGCCTTTGAGTTAAATGCCCATTCTGGGTATCTCTAACTGAGAAAATCCTCTCCTGGATCTCTGTGCCCATTCCTGAGGACCCAAATTTCATCTGCAGAGATTCCTGCTGTCCCTTCCCATGGCCCCAGAGCAGCTCCCAGAGCAGAAATTGCAGCAGGCACACAAGATTCTGAAATTAATGGATACCATGAAAGTCAGGGCTACAGCTTGAAAGGATCTCCATGTGGGAGTTAAACTGCACTCAAAATCAGCCACATCCAGGTCAAAAAGGAAGGAATTATGGCCACACCTGGGGACCTCAGATCCCCTGCACGCCATACTCTGACATCTCCTGCTTTTGAGTTAAATGCCCATTCTGGGTATCTCAAACTGAGAAAATCCTCTCCTAGATCACTGTGCCCATTCCAGAGGACCCAAATTTCCTCTGCAGAGATTCCTGCTGTCCCTCCCCATGGCCCCAGAGCAGCTCCCAGCAGTGTGGTGCTGCTGTGAGTGCTCTGAGCTGGTCACTGAGTTAGGGATAAATGCAATCCATGCACTGCAGATGGAGTTCAGAGTTAAAATCCTTTATCCTGTGGCTTGATAAAGTGCCTGGCAGATGGATGGCACCCCCAAAGCTGCAGGCTGGCAAAGATATTTTGGAAAAGTCCTGAATCTCTGGGTTTGCTATCAAGGGAACCTTGATTTAACCTCAGTTAATTTTAAAGGCTCGTGTTTCAGAGCTGTCTAATTCAGCCTCAGAATGAAACTATTGTGCAACAAACAAAGGAGATTTTCAAGCTTTTCACCTCACCAAATACATTTCTTTGCTGAAAATAAAGGACAACAAAGATTTCTCTTTGCTCTTGGGGGCTTTGCTCAAAATTCCATTAATACTGAAGTTTAAGTGAGATTTCCCCATTTCAGCACGATTGTCTCCTGGTGTTTGTACCACTGGAAACCATTTGGGCTGTTGCCAGAAACAGCACTCAAAGTTCCTCTCCCAGGTTATTGCAATTTGGCAAAATAAACATTCTTCCACCCTCCTGCAACATGATTTCTCCTCTTTAATTACAGATATTCTCTGATTTCCAACACCACACACAGACAGCAGGACAGCTGTAACAGACACACAGGTTTAAGCTGCTGCCCTCAGGAGCTCACAGTATTTATAATTTATCTGAAATCCCTGCAGAACTTTCCAAAAGCAAAATATACCCAACATTTGTCATGGCACTCCCCCTCCCACAATCAAAAATGCTGATAGAAATTAAGTACAGAGAAATTTTAAGTTTAAAATATTTACATGAAAGCAGAGGAAACTGTGGTAGCATTCTAAAAGTCAACATCCAAATATAAAATGAAACATAATATTATTGTGCTTTGAAAGCAGTTTGACACAATAGTGTGCTATAAAAACAGTTTGAATTCATAACTAGAATTTAATTTAGATTTAATTAGAGATTAAAACATGGAATTCAGATTTCAGAATCCGCACAAGAAATCTGAATTTTATTGGAACAGTAAATATTTGCTTTGAGGATATAAAAAACCCCTTAGAAATCAAACTTCTATTAGGGAGTCCTACAAATCCCATGGAATAAATGGAATTAATTGACTTTCAGGCTACTCTGATTAGAATCTGACCGACAAAAATTCACTCACAGTTTGGTTTTGGCTACAAATTTGTAACTACAGTGTAATGAGACAACAATGTGCCCTACCTGGGCATCCACTGTCAATGTAAGGCTTAACGAGTTCTCCAAGTTTTGTGTTGTCTGCAACAGCTTCCTTTAGCAGTTGCCCACAGCAAACTAACAGGAAGGAAGAACAAAAAAGACACAAGGTTAAATTTTAAAAAGGAGGCAACAAAGCAAAGCAAAGCAAAGAACCCAGAAGCTGCATAGTGGAATAAGGTCACTGAATAAAATAAAAGTTGTATGTTTTTTGAGTTTGTTGTTAGGGTTTTGTCGGGTTTTTTTGGCCAAGCAGAGTGAAAAGCAAGGAGAGTGAGGATATAGAATGAAGAAAAAAAAAGAATATATTTGGCAAAGAACATATTAAAAATGGAGAGAATGACATTAATCAAATATATTTCTGAAATAACAACTCAAGGGATTGCTGGTGGCTTTCACTTTTTATAAACTTGTAATTACTGAATAAAGTTCCAGCTGCTCAACAGCATCTGAACCACTCTGCTGGAGGTGCAGCACAATGCTCAGCTCAGGAGGGGCCTCCTTGGATCATTTAATGATCATGTAAGGATTACATTTATAAAAACTGTGCTAATGCAATATTATCATTGATTTCAAACACACACAGAACTCCAGGAGATGCAGATTTCAGGTCTGAGCCAGGACAGCTGTACATGAAATATTCCTGGTTTGGCCTTGGAGGGCATTGGCTGCCCAGGTGAGGGAGGGAACCAAGAATGGAGAGGTCACACAGCAGCAGAAATCCTGGTTACAACTCCAATTATTTTTGGTAAAAATATTAGCTATAGATCCCCCTGGAGATTATTCAATTAATAATCCTAAATTGATTCCTTTTTTCCTGGAATCAATAGCACTGACAGGCCCTGCCTTTGATGGGAGAAGATGGAGCCCTTTAATCAGTTTATTGCTGTTAATCACACTGCCAGGCCAACAGGAGTGAGAACATCCCAGCAGTGCTCCTGGGACAAAGCTGATAAAATTCAATGTTTAAGTGACAATTTGAACAGTCTCCAGTTGTCCTGGAGAAGCAAATTCATATTCATAATAAATAGTGTAAAAAACACAACAGAAACTCAGTGCACAGCCCCCAGTTTAAGACACCTAATGAATACACACCTAAATTCAATCCAATTCATGAGACTATTTAAATATAGATTTAAATTTTTGAGCCTGAGCTTCAAGCCCAATGGCCTAACAGAAATTAAGTGTATGCTCAATATTATTCTGAAAAATTATGGTATTCCAACTCTGTATTAAATACTTAATTCTTCTAATATTTGGGTTATAGGATACTTAAAATAAAATTCAACATGTGGGTAAAGCACTGGTAATGATTTTTAATAAAAAGAGCTGCAACTCTCTCATATTGTAGTTACTTTAGAAAAAAAAATGCAAATTTTGACCTAGATGGAACACTATGAAACCTGCAGTTTTAGAAAAAGGTTGGAAAAAAATTTAAAAGGACAACAATTTTTATTACAAGCATGATTTGTTTTCTTTAAGCTAATGACACGATTAATAAAAATACAGCTTTGAATAAATCTGCAAATATTTCATTTTTCACATGATATTTCAAAATACAGCAATGGCACAATAACTGACAGCAGAAATATTCTATCAAAACTGCCTTTTGCTTAACTAACATGATGTGAGTAATCAGCAAATTTTACAGTTACCAGACATTTGTTTAAAATAATTTATGGTCACTCCAGTATTAGAAGACAGTACAGAACATGGAAAATACTGCACTGATCCTATCAGCAAGCTGCACTTTTATATACAGAACTCTTTAACATTTAAATGCTAATCTTGAACGAGTCTCATGCAGAATTTTTTGGATTTCCAAAGAAGAAAGATGATGCACTTTTAACTAATTCTTTCATTTTCTCACACATTACTTGAGTTGAGACCTCAGTAAAGTTCAGAGCAAATTCTATTTTAAAAGTGCCCCAATTTTGGTCAGAGAGCTGAAAAACTGAAATCATTACTCATGATCCACTGACCCACAGAAGAATTCAGAGCGCTGCAGGAGCCTAACAATAGAAAAATACGGATGTAAAAGGTATAAAAAATGATGAAATGATGACTAAAAAAAACCTTAGAGCTGCTTTGTCACAGCATATATGCTTGGTTTACACTTCTTCATTCAAATACTTCTCAGTTCTCTCAAAAAATTGACATCCACAGCAATGGACAAAGAGAGAGATTTTATGAGAGTAAGACAGACAGACAGCAAAAGATAAATGATCAAAAAGAGAGAAAGGGGGAATTGAGCAAAGTGTGTGTTTACTGAGAACTTACTGTTGACAACATCATATTTCTGAGCTATTAGTGCTGCCTGCAGGCTCTTCCCACTGCCTGGGGGGCCGAAAAAGAGAATCCGGGGCGTGAAGGGGGCGGCGGAACGGTGCCGGGTTTGGACAAAGGCAAGGACTGCAACAGGGGAGAAAGGCAAAAAATTA